TCTTCGCGCTGAGGTAGATCGTCTTATAGACCTCACCAACGACTGGTTTTCTGCCCTTCCGGTTGGCCTCAGGATCATCGACACCAGGCAAACTCTTTCAACAGAAACATCTAGAGTCTGGCAGCCTGGGGATCTGGCTTGCCAAGAGGCGACTGCCGAGCTGAATCTACTAAATCCTGACAATCGGGGCCGCGTCAGCCGACATGAGAGCATTATTACCATAGGTGACGAGGTCGGTCCCGTCCGAGGTGGTGTATCAGCGCCTCCTTGGGGTGGTTATCGCGAAGATCGACGCAACAAGGTAGTACCCTACTCCTATCTAGACTATGGTCCTTTCGCTTCCTTCGGTCCCCGGGTCGACACCGGCGCCGCACACTGCACTCGGTCTGCCAGTGATCTCTTGCTAGGTACTTCCTGGCTACCTGCACGAATGAGATATCTCGATGTAGCGCTTTCGCTTGGCTGGACAGACGCTTCAGGAAATGGTCCAGAGTCTGAAATGGATGAAGCAGATTCTGAAATCCTTGATCCAGTACGTAAGGCTGAAAACAAATGGTTAAGAGAAAGGGCACGACGGCAGCAATTGGCTATTTCAGCTGGTGAGTTTTATTTTATATTTAAGTTTATAAAGTGATTTGATTATTTGTCCATTTTATATTAAATCGAGTTTTCATCCACGTTTTGGGAATCTTATTGCTTTGCTTTTCTGTTGACTATATCACTGTCCTCCAAATATTTCCATTCATTTTAGCCTCAGCAGCGGGTGACCACGGCTTAGCATTAGCCCTTTCCAACGCCTCTGTAGAGAGTGAGCTTGGCGTTGCATTGGCGCGTGAGTTGGATGAAACCATACCTCTGGCTTGTGAAACCGTTCATGATGACTTTACTCTGTATCTTGCCAATGCATTAACTCGCGATCTCATAAAGGAACAGCGCGAAACCGAAGCAAAGGCAACAGCAGAAGCAGCGATGGTGAACCCAAACCTGACTTCCGCTAATGATGGAGACTCAAATTATTTAAATGCTATTAAACATAAACAAGAAACAGAGGACCTGACTCTCTCTCAAAAAGAGAAGCAGGATTGTATACTCGTAAATACGAAGGAGCAGCAGGATCAGACTTTGGAGGCTGAAGCCCTGGTAAAGGAGCCAGAATCTTCCGTTTCTGATAACCAAGACTCTCCAGTTGCTTTGATGGATTCGCCCACTATTTCTAAATCAGGTGCCTGTCTGACCTCCAGCCTTTGCAAAACTGCACAAGACC